ACATTAGACGAGATAAAAAGAAGTGTCTGGAAGTGCAAACATTTGTACTTACTTCTTTCACGTTTATTATTATTTTTATTACAAATACAGATCTGAAAAACACCAGTCACGCTATAATAATTATTGCATGTGTCACTCGCCATCTTTTATTTTCAGCAGCTTTTGTTGTTGACGTTATTAATATTTTGTTAGTTAGTGAAGAGAGGGAGAAACAATAAACTATTAAGATTATTTTACAACATGCTAACGAGCAAACTTCAACATGAGACAACCTGGAGATGCAGAAAGGTTTAACATTCTGCAGCTGAACATTCTTTGGAGAAATTCAAAATTGCCTTACTTAAAAAAAAAGAAAATGCACAATTATGTAAGTTATTTATAATGTGGGTGAGATTTTTACTGGCGATTAAAAACTACTTAACAATATCTTGAAAAATCCAAACAAAAACTGATGTTTTTGGTCTGGAGCTCCTGGCTCTTCTACTTTCCTCTCTACCTGCTTTTTTCCACCTTCAAATTACTTCTTGTTTACTTGGACAAAGCCTCAGGCCCAAATAGATTAATATATTTGTACTCATAATGACTCAGTATTACAGTATTACTACACAACAAGAAGTGAGTCAGCAGCTTTCAACTCTTCATTAGAATGGCACAACACGAAAACATTGACGTTACTGCATTAAATAGTGCAAACCCTAAAGATGCTTTGCAATGTTTAAATAATAAACACCATTTCTTTCAGGCCCAACAACCACTTAAACAAGAAAATAATCCTCCTTAATAGCAGGAGACTGATGTAAAAATACTTTTATATCAATAGGGTGTTGAACGTACTAGACTCAGTTTCTGGACTCAAAGTACTTCAGTTGAAAAAATATTAGTCCTCAAACAGAGCTGCAAATTATACGCAGATGATCAGTCTATCACTGGGACCAAACAAAAGTACAACAATACACACTCACTCCCAAGGTCAACAAAGATTTTCTAATACATCCAGGATATTTTGAGACTTTGGGGGAAAATCCAGAGCAAACCCCGGTCCGGGGGCCTTTCTGGGTGGAGTTTGCATGTTCTCTCCGTGCATGCGTAGGTTTTCTCCGGGTGTTCCGATTTCCTCCCACAGACCAAAAATATGAAGGTTAGGCTGACTGGTAATTCTAAATTGTACCTAGGTGTGCGTGAGAGTGAATGGTTGTTTGTCTCTATGTGTCCCTGTGATGGACTTGCGACCTGTCCAGGGTGTACCCCGCCCCTCGCACAGTGATTGCTGGACATGGGCACTGGCGACCCCCGTGACCCAAAATGGAAGAAACGGGTAAAAGATAATGGCTGGATATATATATATATATATATATATATATATATATATATATACACTGCTCAAAGAAATAAAGGGAACACCTAAACAAAACAATGTAACTCCAAATCAGTCACACCTTTGTGGAATCAATGTCACCAGTTGGGCAGTGACACTTATTGTGAATCAGTTTCACCTGCTGCTGTGCACATGGAACACACAACAGCTGGAATGAGGCAATAAGCAATAAAATCCCTATAAAATATTGATTCTGCAGGTGTGACCACAGGTCATTTCTCTGTTCTCGTCCTTTCTGGTTGAACTTTTAGTCACTTTTAGTTTTCATTTTGTCAGTGCTGTCACACATAGAGGCATCATGAGGCGTTTTGTACAGACCACTGAAGTTGCTCAAGTAGTGCAGATAATCCAAGATGGAACATCAATGTGAGCCGTGGCAGGAAGATTTGTTCTGTCTCTCAACACAGTGTCCAGAGCATGGAATAAGTACCAGGAGACAGGCCAGTACACCAGGAGACATGGGGGGGGGGGGGGGGGGGGGCTGCTACATCCCAGCAACAGGACCGCTACCTTGTCCTTTGTGTAAGGAGGAACTGGAGGTCCACTACCAGGACCCTACAAAATGACCTCCAGCAGGCCACTAATGTGCATGTTTCCACTCAAACTGTCAGAAACAGACTCCATGAGGGTGGTATGAGGGCCCAACATCCACATACTGTATAGGGCCTGTGCTCACAGCCCAACACTGTGCAGGATGATTGGTGTTTGCTAGGGAACACCAAAGGTGGCAGATTTCCCATTGGCACCCTGTGCTCTTCACGGATGAAAGCAGGTTCACACTGAGCACATGTGGCAGACGTGACAGAGTCTGGAGACACCATGGAGAACATTATGCTGCCTGCAACATCCTCCTGCATGACTGGTTTGGTTGTAGGTCAGTCATGGTGTGGGGAGGCATTTCTTTGGATGGCCGCAGAGCCCTCCATGTGCTAACCAGAGGTGCCCTGACTGCCATAAAGTACCAGGATGAGATCATCAGGCCCATTGTGAGACCATATGCTGGTGCAGTGGGCCCTGGGTTCCTTCTTATGCATGACAATGCCAGGTCTTATGTGGCTGAAGTGTGTCAGCAGTTCCTGCATGATGAGGACATTGATGTTATGGACTGGCCTGCCCGTTCCCCAGACCTGAATCCAATTGAGCACATCTGGAACATCATGCTTCGGTCAGTTCACCAAGGCCACATCGCACCACAGACTGTTCAGGAGCTAACTGATGCTCTAATCCAGGTCTGGACAGAGATCCCTCAGGAGAACATCCACCATCTCATCAGGAGCATGCCCAGGTGTTGTTGGGAGCTTATACAGGCACGTGGAGGCCACACACACTACTGAGCCTCATTTAGACTCGTCTTGAGGAATATTCACTGATGTTGAATCAGCCTGTCATGTTATTTTCTACTTTCATATCGAGTATGAATCCAAATCCACATCTCCATGGTGTAATAATTTTGATTTACATTGATCATTTTTGTGTTCTTCTCAATCGATTCCACTGTGCTAATAATAAAGTTCGTCAATGAGAATATTTAATTAACTGAGGTCTAGGATGTGTTATTTTAGTGTGCCCTTTAATTTTGTGAACAGTGTATATATAGTATATTATACAAAGTATAAACTCCCACCATCAACATGAACAATATTTGGGAGAAAGGACAAAATATTTGATTTGTTTGAGCTATTGCTTTTTGTTTTCTTGTGATAAGAAAGTTCATTTTAATCTATTCTCATATATCAAAGTGTAAAAATCAAAGTATAATCCAGCCAGTTGAAGCAGATGGCTGCTTGTGCTGAGCCTGGTTCTGTTCGAGGTTTCTCCCTGTTAAAAGGGGGTTTTTCCTTTCCACTGTTGCCTTTGTACTTGCTCAGGATGGGAGACTGTGACAAAGTGAAGATTCAACGCATTGGCTGGCCTCCTTCCTTAGATAGATAACTTTACAAGGGAGGAGAGGGCAGGCCCCAGAAACCATCTTATCACCAGCAAACTGGTTGGTCCAATATCTGGATTTGTTGCTTGTGGAACTAGGTTTGTTGTGGCTCCTCAGACTCATGAAGTCCTTTGGATGAAGGATGAAATGTCTCAAAAAAAAGAAAGAAAAAAAAAAGAAGAAAGAAACCATCCAGAAGACCTGACTGAACATTATTGGACAGATACCTTTTTTTAATTGGCTTTTGTATGTATGTGAATGTTTATGTACAGTGCTCTGAGATAAGTTCTTTTGTGATTTTTGTACTATATAAATAAACTGAACTGTACTGAGTTGAATTTAGTATTAATAACGTTTCCTTATAACAGTAACTAAACGGGGTTGATCACCTTTTGGACCATGTATGGTATGAACATTTTTTCAGTTGGCCATGACTAAAACTGATTTGAAGGCTTGAAGAAACATTGATAAAGTTGATCAACTTGTATGCAGATGATACCGCTTTATATTCCTTTAAAATATCAAATTTCTTGATTATTAAACAAGTGTAATTTCTTTGAAAACTCATCACATTTTGCCAAGTTTTATGAAGGATTATCCAGAAGTCAACTTTTGGAAGAAATCAGTAAAGGGTTGTGGTGCTTTAACCTACAAAATGTAAAAAAAGAAAAGAAGATGAATCAACGCTAAAGGTTTGTATTGTACTTACTATTGCTCATTTTGAGAACATTTGTTTAATGTGTTTTGCAGTTAAACCAAAACAATTACATAAAAAGTATCATCATTAAATGTGCAGAAGGTCTACATCTGCTTCAGCCTCTTTGAGCCTGTGGGCCAAAATAAAGTGCAAATGTGAGCTGCAAAGAATGACTGCAAGGGGCTGCAAATGGCACTCGGGCCACAGTTTGGACACCCCTGGACTATGTGGACTGATATAGCAGGAGCTGGGAAGCCCTAAATTAATTAATATGAGACTCACTGAAGGGGACATATGAATGAAGAGTAACAAATGACAATTTGAAAAAAATCCCCACTAAAGAGTAACTAAACCAACAACCTCCCAGTAAAGTGTAACAATTATTAAATACATCAGAGGAAATGCTATGGACAATTAGATACTTTGGAAAGGACTGAGGAAGTATTATTTTACAGGTCAAAACACGGCTCTAGGCAACACAGATGACTGTTTCACAAACGTGGAACTTTTTGCCAACACACATCAATCTTTGCTGACTTTGACAGCACATATTTAAAGTTTCTCTGTACGCTCAAAGTTACTGTGTCGTAAACAGAAAATGTTCTGGATGACTTTCTGGCAAACTATGAGCTGGTTTTCTTCATCTGTTGGGATTAATAACAGGATGTGGACATTTATGGTTACAAAAACACAAGCTAATCCAGCACGAAACTGTCTTCCCGCCTTTGTTGGTTTAGCCCATGAACGACTAACGCCACATCTGAGATGAAGCAACCTGGTGACAATGATGTCAACACGCCGAAGACGTTTAAAAGCTAATTGAGTTTCCTGAGGCAAACATCTGAGACGGAGTGGATGATCCTGATATTCTATCCGTTATTTGGCTCTTTGTTCCTTCAGTCTGCTGTGACTCCGAGGCTCCTCTAACTAGCAGAAGATCAGAGTAACAACATGAAGTCCAGGATGACGGGTTTTCTTCTGATCATGTTTCTTTTAATCAACTGCCAGCTGACTGTAAGTACAAAGAGCTCCTCCACCCGACTCTGTACTAAAATCTGTGCTGACTTTTGCTTTATGTGACCAGTTTTACTTTTTCACTTTTGCAGCTCTGCCGTCACAGGCGCAGTTCTAGCAGTGAATCTAACAGTCACCAGGTACACGTTTATTTATTTGTACATTAAAGTGCAACTAATGCTTTCTGCATTTTATTTTATTTTTTTATTTAACGCTGCTTTGTGTGTTTACTTTGTCTTGCTCCAGAAATGGATACCCTTTCCTCCAATTCTTCCATATCAACCCTTAAATATCTGCAAGTTGTTTCCGGCTCTTTGCCCCACATCACCTGCTCCCCCTACAGTACCAACAACAAAAACAACAACAACAACCACAACGACCACCACCACACCAACAACCACCACCACTACCCCAACAACAACAACTACAACATCGACAACCACCATCCCAACAACAACAACAACTACTACCCCATCAACAACAACTACTACGCCAACAACAACAACTACTACGCCAACAACAACTACTACCCCATCAACAACAACTACTACGCAGACAACAACAATAACTACTACCCTATCAACAACAACTACTACGCCAACAACAACTACCACTCCAACAACAACAACAACAACAACACCAACAACAGTCCTACAAACCACAACCTCTCCCAGAGGAGACAGTAAATAAACTGTCAGTCATCTTGATTGACCTATGACATCAGGACATTTCAGTATACAAGAAACAGGTTTGACACGTATTAGTTGTCTTTTTATGCACTTTGATAATAGTATTCTATCAGGACAAAGGCTAAATTAAATTTGAATACCTTATAAATAAAACACGAATGTATTAGTTTGTACATGTTCATCTTTTAGTTCAGAATTCTTTCAAACATTTTCATTCACGTTATGACGATTCTACTCATTTAAACCAGCACCAGATTGTTCTGTGTTACTTTTTTAAAAAAATGAATGTAAAAGGTTAATTATATTTAGTATCAGTAATCATATATGATGCTTAGTGATGCTTGTAGAATTGAGACGAGCTCTCAGGGTGTGATAAGAGTTTTATTGGAGGCTGGTCTAGCAGACATCAGTGAGAGAGTGCTGACTCACCCCTGGATTATGTCAGCTCTAAGAAAGGCTGGGTGTAAGCCGCTAATACCCGACTTGGTGCTTCATCAGAGAAGTCTGTGAGAAACCCTCCTGACCTATAATAGTTTTATTTACTGCTCAGCACTGTCAGCTCCTCCAATATGCATTCATATGAATCACTTTAGCCTTAACTTAATCAGTTACTGTGTTTTGATGTGATTTGTTTGTGCCAAAATACTGCTTTTTCCACAGAAACGCACTATGAATGTCAATGTTTTTGGTTTAAAAAGTTTAGTCTTTTATGTCTTCAAATCTTTATTTTCTGAATGTGCACTGATATCCTTTATTTGTATTCTTATCGTGTCCTTTACCTGTTTAAACAATAAAATTTAAATTAAAAAAAGGGCTTTGTGGATGTAAAAGTTTTTTTGTTTGACTCAGGTCACGTTCGTTTGTACAAAAAGTGTTTTGTTTGTTTAAAGATATCAGAAATCTGAAATATTAAAGTAAATCAAAATACACATAATCATGCATCACATACTATAAGAATATTTGCTGTTGTTAAAACACAGTTTTCATGCTTTCCCATATGCTTTAATGGTGTTGCCAAAAAATTAAAGCTGTTCTTATTTTGTGCCCCGCTGTGGAGCGAAGAGGGAATTGGAAATAATCTTCGTCCATCCGTGCATGTTGTGACATAATAACTTGAAAAATAAGTGCGGTACTGACTTCTGTATTTGTGTGTAACTACATAAGGTTCCTTTTAAAAATCGAGTTACCAAGTCAAAATCCAAGATGGCTGCCACCATATATGTATGTAAACCAGCTACCCTGAACACTTGAGAAAACAGTTTTCTAGTTAATACTGTTTAAGAGCATCGTTTTCTCAAATAAGTGGGGAAGCCAAAGATTTATTGTGTGTGTGTGTGTGTGGGGGGGGGGGGGGGCAGGCAAGGCCACCATTGGCCACCCCGTGGCTCCTCCACTCTTCCTGTTGGTGGATAAAATGTCTCCCTCCACTCTCCAGGATCCCACACTCTGCTCTGCCTCGAACAATAAGAAAAAAAAAAAAAAAAACCTACGTCAGTTCATCCGTGAAGTTTTGACCAACATTTGTCTCCCCTGCTCAGCACCGTCTGTTCCTGTAATGTGCAACTGGATGAGAGTTAAAAAGTCTAACTCGTGCCCACTTGAAAGTCTTGCACTGAAGCATTACCCGGTAAGTCCACCAGCATTCCCTGTTCAGTTCCAGCTCAGAAAAACACCCATCTCCAAAACTTCAAACATTATCCATTCAAACCCCTCAGAGACGGGGACATCATCAGTGCACCACTTATTATTACTATTTATATAATTACTTGTATTTGGTAACTACCCGTCGGAATATTTAATGGTGACTTCATTCTACGGCACATTTAGTAATAAATTCATTCCATTTCCGTTCAGTTTTTAATGAATTACTTTACATTTAAAGTAGGTGAGCTGTGTTGTTTAATGACAGAATTTTTTACAAAAACAAAAAAATATTGCTGGGACTATAAAAGAACATCAAAGTTCATGCTCAGTAATCCAGGTAAAAAATCCAATAAAGTTAAGTCAGGTCATCTGGACGGTTTCTTTTTGTTGAAACATTTTGCTCTTCATCCAAAGGACTTCATCAGTCCAAGGAGCCACAACAAACTCAGTCACACAAATAGCACACCCACATAGCAGACCAACCAGTTTGCTGGTGATAAGATGGTTTATGGAGTTCGCCCTCTCCCCCACTGATTCCTCTGAAGCAGCCATAGCCAAAGTGGTTCAAAACATCAATGATGTTTCAACAAAAAAAGAAACCGTCCAGATGACCTGACTTAACTCTGTTGGATTTTTTTACCTGGATTATTGAGCATGAACTTTGATGTTTTGAACGACTTTGTCTATGGCTGCCTCAGAGGAGTTGACAGGGGAGAGGGTGGACTCCAGAAACCATCTTATCACCATCAAACTGGTTGGTCCACTATGTGAATAAGCCACTTATGGGACTGAATTTGTTGTGGCTCCTAGGACTGATGAAGTCCTTTGGATGAAGGACAAAATGTTTCAACAAAAAGAAACTGTCCAGAGGACCTGACTTAATTTTGTTGGCCTGTAAAAGAAGTCACATTATGTTTATAGTTATCAGACAAACCAGACTTTTTGTTTTATACCTGTAAGCATGCAGTTCTTAAAGCACAGAACCATCTAGAAGACAGATGTATGTCTGCCACCTGGTGCCCCTGTATCCCCCTGCAGTCCCTGACCCAGTTCAGCCTCCAACATTCCTTAAATCACAACTTTTAGATAATTTTGCTGCATGTTTTGCATTTGTCAGCTATAATTGTAGTTGTAAAAACTCCTTTTAATTTCTTAGTCCTTATTTTTTGCACATCCCTCACATATGGCTCGATGCTAACCACAGCAGGTAGACAGTGACACATCAGCCGCACCCATGGGGGCTCAGAGTGACAGGAAACCCGTACGTCTGAGCTTCTCCCTGTTTGTTTATCCTTTTCTATAGACATGACAGCATCCTAATTGGTGGAAAAACCTGTAATTCGAGCTAGTCAAAATAATTTCTTTGGTTTCCAACTTGCTGCTTCAATCAGATGAGATAATTAGGTAGACTTTGTGTCTCCTTCTGCAATGTGATTGGTTGTTTCGCTCCACGTCCAGAGCATAAGTTCACGCTCCTGTCCACATGGTTTCACAGTTTATTCAGCCTGCTCCAGAGAGTTTACTCAGAAACTTGTTCTTGAAAATGTTCATCATATTTCTGCTTTTGTGCATCACTACGATGGTAATCTCTGTGCCGGTAAGTTGGTTTACATCATTTTCATTAAAAAAAAAAGATATCTTACATTACCTTGATTCAGTTTTTTCTAATAACTGTGCATTCTTGGGGGACACAATAACTGAACTTGTCGTTTTATTTTAAAGGTAAGTCCAAATGTTCGCCCTCTCCTGCTGTTGCAAAGAGGAGCCTCTCAAAGAGACCAGCCCGTCCAAACCACAAACCAGAAGTCCGAGGCTCAGATGACGGCTCCTCTTCTGCCCAACGTGGAGCAACCACAGCCTGGGATCCCCCAGCAGCCAGACCCCCAGACCAGTCCTCAGCCTTTCTTACAGCAGTACACAATGCTGACACAGGGGGGCAGCCCGATGTTCATCCCGCTGCCACAGAGTCTCTACCCCTCCCTGGCTGCTAACCAGCTGCCAGTGGCCCAGCAACCCATGGTAGGATCAGAAATATGAGCTCAAATAGAGCTATTTGAATTTATTTTTCAACTTTCTATAATTGATTGTGTTGTTTTTAATCAGATTTATCCAGCTTATGGAATAATGCCACTATTCCCCTCACCCTACAGCAAGCAGCTGGTAAGACATTATTAGCAGATGTTCTGTCTGCAGCTGGATCACACACACTACAAAGCACTGCATGTACATAAAGTTAAAAAAAAAAGAAAAAAATATCCACTACCTCAATTAACTTGAAAGACTTCTCCTTGGGGGATCTCAAACATTTTTCAACATTGAAATTAAGCGTTTTTCCTCCTTCTTGTGCTTTTACACAGAAACTGAGACATCATCAGACCCGTTTTCTGGGAAACAGGGTTGGATAAATTAATGTTTTAACTGGATCATTTATGATGCTTGTATAAAAAACTAATGATCCATCTCCATAAGTTATTCTACTGTTGAAGGACTGAGGAACTGCTGCAGAGTTTGACTTTTATCTTCAGTCCGTCCAGGAGCAGGAATTGACAAAAGTTAAAAAAATGCACGTTGTGTCTCTCTCACAAGTTGTCCCCGTATGGATTCCCGATGGCTCCTGAATCTTTTCTACCTCAGCCTCCGACCCAGCAGCTCCAGAACAATCCAGCGTTACCTGCAGAAACTGCTGCAGGTGTAGCCGGACCTGCAGCAGCTCCTCAGCAGCAAACCCAGCCACAGGTCTGCTCATTTATCACATCTTAAAAGATAAAAATAAGAAGAGGAAACTGACAAAACTCTCATTCACAGACTCCCCAAATTGTGTACATGCTACAGCAGCCTATGGTGAGTATGCAGTGCTTTTTATCGTTTTATCCCCGTTTTGTCTCTGGGGATATTTAATTTGACATATGCTGCCATTTCTTTATAGAACCCTTCACTTGGCGGCCTTAGCTCAGAGGAACTTCAGGTAAGACAGCTACATGCTTTAATTTGCTCTCAGCATATTCAAACCACCTGTTTTAGAGAACTAAGTGGTCCTATGGATGA